GTGTTGCACTCACGACGGACACGTGGACATCAAATACCACAACAAGTTATATTACCGTAACAGAGCATCTTATGTTCTGAGCATTTTATACACTGAATTGACGACGGATTTTCCCGTTATTTCCCGATCATGATAAGGAGCACACGGCGGTTGTGACCAGTCGGCAGGGATGCTCACTCCTCAGTGGCACCTGATTCCACCTCTGATGTTTCGGAGGTCCGTGTTTGCTCTGCTCCTATTTTGTATTGTTTTATGGACTTTGATATTGAATGCTGTTCGTTATCTCCATATCCACCTTGTATTCATTTTAAAGATTTTTTTTTAACTTTGACCATCTCATGCTTGAATTAATTTTGGTTCTATTGTCTGAGTTGTAATGATTAAGAAATTAACAATTTTTATTGAAATATTTTTTTAGACTGTAAATCAAAAGATGACTGCCGATCTTATTGTGGAACCCACCACGAGCACCATTATCATTGTGTCGACGGCAGATGTAGATGTGGTGAACTGGATAATGACAAATAAACAGTTCAAACTCGCACGTGTTTGTGTATATTGAATACAGATTATATTTTCAAACATTTATCATTTATTCCCTGACGCACGTTACTGAAGAATAACTTGTATATAAACAAGATGAACTAACTGAAGAAGTGTTAATGTGTACGTTTTTTATGAACAAGATGTTTCTTAGGTCGAGCAGCTTGACCAAAAAAAAAATTATTCATGAGTCATATACATATAATCTAATCGCACTCATCCAAATTATAGTTAAAGTACTCAATACAAAATATTTTCAAATAATCAACGAAGAATTTACCATTTATTTCACCAAAATCAACAGCTTAAAAACTTACGACTTTTCAATTTTATACACAACCATTCGGATAAAATAAAGTCCAGGCTTTTTTATATCATTGACTGCTGCTTTTTCAAGAAAAGTGGAACTCGTAAATTTACTTACTTGGTCATTTGCAAAATTATTTTAAAACACATTCTGATTGCACACACACGTACTCTGAAGTCACATCAAAAAGATGCTTGAGTTTCTAATTGACAATATCTATGTTGCTTTTTGAGACCAGGTCTTTCAACAATCTATTGGAATTCCCATGGGAACAAATTGCGCTCCGTTATTAGCAGACCAATTTTTATATTCATATGAAGCAGAATTTGTGCAAAATCATATGCGTGAAAAGAAGAAATCACTTGTGGCCTTCAACTCAACATTAAGGTATATCGACGACGTATTGTCAATTAACAATGGTAATTTCCATTCCTATGTCGATACGATATATGCTGGTGAGCTTCAGATAAAAGATACCACAGAGTCTGACACATCTGTTTCGTACTTGGATATTTTACTTGAAAGAGACTTTAATAGTAATCTAACGACCAAGCTCTATAATAAACGTGATGACTTTAACTTTTCTATCGTCAACTTCACTTACTTATGTAGCAATATACCTTCATCACCTGCATAGTGCATACGGTGTTTATATATCGGTATCTCAGTTGATTTGATACGCAAGAGCATGCTCTACGTATTAACAGTTTTTAGAACGAGGAAAATTATTGACAAACAAGTTGTTGAAACAAGAATATCAGCAGTCTCGTTTAAAGGCATCATTTCGTAAGTTCTTTGGTAGATACAATGACCTTGTCAGCAAATACAGTTTATCATTGAGTCAAATGCTGACTGACGTTTTTCATACTAATTGTTAGTCCATCATTTATATTCCCCGGCCGTTGGCCGTAGACGGATGGTAATCGGTGGTAATCCGTGGTGTGCGCGATGCCCAAACATCGGTCCACATCGGTCTAGTAGTCCTTAAAATATCAGTCACATTATCTAGCGATGGGCAACCAATGCGTTTTTTGATAAAAGTGGCGTGGTTGCCGGCCGGAATTACAAAGGCCCAGCAATGCATTGCTAATCATAAAGCGATGTTCCAGTGTAATCGGTCGATGTACTAGTATATTACATCGCTCATACATTGCTGAACATCGTTCGACGTCGGTCGACTATGGGCCAATGTTTGGTCGAACATCGACCGATGATTGACCGATGTCTGTTGCCCACCACTCAACCCCTATGACCTCAGATTCAACGGACACTTGACGATGCTCGGCCATACATCGGCCAATTCTTGAAAGATGTGTTAATGATGGGTTGCTGATGAGGAGCAATGTTGGGCATCGGTGGCGAAATCGCTGATTTTTAACTACAACTTATTTTTTACCGATGACCCCCACCAATTCGTCAAATGGCCTCAGTCACCATCCGATTACTGTAGGTGTCCGGCCAGCAACCACGCCATTTTTATCAAAAAACGCATCGGTTTCTCATCGTATACCCCATCACTGGATAATGCGACTGATACTTTAGTCCATTATTTTTACACTGAATTGACGACGGATTTTTCCGTTATTTCCCGATCATGACAAGGAGCACACGGTAGGTGTGACCGGTCAGCAGTTAAATGCTCACTCCTCCATGGCACCTGATCCCACCTCTGATGTTTTATAGGTCCGTGTTTGCTCTGCTCCCATTTTGTATTGTTTTATGGACTTTGATATTGAATACTGTTCGTTATCTCCATATCTTCATGCAATACAATATTACAAAATTATTTGAAACAAGGAAAGAACTTAAAGACAACATTCGTTGAGGTGAGCTCTGTAATCTCTGATTACCTATGTTTGTTGTTAAAAAACGCTCATTGATCGCCTTTGTTAGTAGGAAAAAGGGTCTAGTTGGTATAAAAAAAAATCAGCAAAAAATCTTAAGGATCTATGTTAAGACAAATTTGCAGTTTGATAAATAACCTTTTAGATTTTGCTCGGGATTTGCATTTTGGTATGACTGAAGGAAGACAACTCCAAAATAGTCAACGTCATAAATCCAGGCAACAAAAGAATGCACAGGGATGGAACCAGTTGCGTAGGTATATGGTACCTCCTATCGACAGGTCACATCCTCCATCATGAACCTATGGTTGGATCAAGTGAACATGGACAACGGAACACTCCTAAGTCAAAAGTATGGTAAAATAGCAATAAAACTTTATTTCCTTACTTATGTTGCATTATATACTTATCGTTTGCATGAACTGTTTATGTCTCCCAGTTGATTCGATTCACAAGAGCATGCTCTACATACGATCATTTTTTTAAAACGTAAGAAATAAACCAAAAGTTAAAGAAACAATGATATCAACAGTCTCCTTTACAGTCATTATTTCGCTACGATTGATACAATGACGATCAGCAATATTATTACAATCTATCATTAGGTCATTAAGTCAAATGCTGACTGATGTTTGGCCATTATTTACACACAGATATTTCTAGATTTTTCATTTGCCCTGTCAGCTAGGACAAGAAGCACATAGCGGTTGTGACCTTTCGGCAAGGGATGCTTATCTTCTATGGCAGCTGATCCTGTCTCTGATTTTTGGAGATCCGTGTTTGTATTGTTTAAATGGACTTTGAGCTTAAAAACTGTTCATACTCTCCAGATATTTCTCGAATTATGATATATTTTTCATTCATTATTTTATCCAGGTTCCTGTACTACATGTACGCTAGAGTTATCCTCCGCTTATCGAGAATAAAATAAAAACCAACAGTAGCAACTGAGACCCAATCTAATGGAAAATAACAAAAAAGAAATACCGGTAGACTAGGATTATATTTTTGAATTTACATATGTATTTGTATGCGTCAGCAACCTCAAAATTAATTGGTATCTTCCTTAGACCATAGGGGAGTTATTGTGTAAAATTAGATGTAGTTTTTGAAGAAAAAGTATTCCAATAAAGTCCAACACCTTGAATAGTTCGTAAGTTGTATGCGCAAGGGAAATTTGAAATAAAATTTGAAACCCCACCATTTTTATGAAGTGAAATATGAGGAGATATCGAACAATATTCGAGCTCAAAAGTCCATTAAACATTACATAATAGGAGCGGAGCAAACAAGGACCTCCAAAACATCATAGGTTGGATCAGGTGCCATTGAGAAGTGAGGATCCTCTGTCGTCCGGTCACACCCGCCGTGTACTTGATCCTTATCATGACCGGGGAATAACGGAAAAATCCATGGACAAAATGGCCTAACAATCTGTTTGTTAAAATTCATTCAGCATTTGACTTAATGATTAATTGAATATGCTGACAAGGTCCTTGTATCGACCATAGAACTTATGAAATGATGACATTAAACGAGACTGTTCATATATTTGCTTCCTCAACTTAGTTCTCAATAAATTACCTCATTTTAGAAATTGTTAAATCGTATAACATGCTCTTCCGTAACGAGTCAACCGAGAGATATATAAATTCCGTATGCAGGTGATGATGGTATACTGCTGCATAAGTAAGGGAAGTTGATGATTGAAATGATAGTCAACACGTTTATCATAAAGCTTTGTTGTTAGATAACCATTGATCTCTTTTTGTAGTTCAAAAATTCAAATTTGAAACAATTGTGTAAGACCTTTGTGGTATCTTTTATTTCAAGCTCACCGTGATATATCGTGTCGACATAAGAATGGAAATAACTATAATTGTTAATTGACAATACGTCGTCAATATATCTAATTGTGGAGTTGAAGACACGCTTACGTGTAAAATACTAGTACGTGTAAAATACGTAGATATCTGTGAAGCATTATAATATTTTATATCCATTGAATCTTTAGATACGTACATATACGTAGTATAGTTTCACAGAGGTAAAATAAAAAGCGGAACGACTCCTTTAACAGGGTGAAAGAAAACAACAGAACCATCTTATGATCGTCACACCTTGAAAATAAATATATATTTAAAAGTGTTATTTTTAAACTATATAAAAACGTTTGTGAAAATGTCAATTATTGTTCATATATAATTAACAGTGTATCATCGTTGAAAATTTAATAATTATAAACATCACGATATACAAGAACATATTGCGTTGATAAAACAGTTTGTCGTGAGATAATGGCACGACTTACAGTAATACCTAACAAGAGAGATAAGATTTTCCATTCCAGTTGTGTACATCTATCAGATATGAAGAGTTTTGTCTTCTGTGTACTGGCTCTTGCCTTAATCTGTAAGTTAAACAATTTCTTAAAAATAGATTTGTGGAAGTCCCTTGTAAAATTTATATAAGCAAAGAATCAAACTTTTAAAGAGATTGTCTCATAAGTATTACTGCAAAAGTGTGTTTGCAAAAAATCGAGTATTGTTACAGCGCGTTATGAAATTTTTTTAGAACACTTTGCTGCAATTTATGAGGGATAAGACTGGTACATTCTTCAAGAAATAATAAATCATGCTTATTTTTACATTTTTAACTTTCTGACTTGACTTCAAATGTGATTTTTATTTCAAAATCTATGCATTATCTTTCGTGTAAACTACCTTAATTGGGACAGCCAATGTAACAGCTTCTTGTAAATAAGAGCGTACTTTTTTATATCGTTAATTATAAACTATTGAATTTGGCAAATAAACCCCGAAATGGGTGCACCATAGTTCTTACTTATACTCCTCTAACAATACGTATACACTACACTGTATATACAGGATGATGTCCGAAAACTTTTTTTTAATATTTAGATTTCACTGTTTCTTCTGTTCTGCGAAACAATTTCCTATGTTTTAAAAGACCATTTTAATAATGTACCTTGACAAGAGAATTTGTTTACAATGAAAGATATACAAGTACTTTGCGTGATTAAGGAATTTCTAATGAAACTTTGACGGTGAATCCGCCATGGAATAAGAAATTAGTATTGAGGAAGAAGTCTACGGTCAAAATAGTTTCGACAGGACAGTGAAGTAGTTAAATATTTGATCTCAATGAATTAGACTTTTAATGACGAAGAATTTTATACATGGATTATCTATTGCCGAGTCAATTCAAAATATAGTGTTCCATGTTTTCAGCTACAAGCTACGCTTGTACCATAGCATCAGAGTGTTCGGGGTCATGTGATCTTTCCTCCAACCATTGGGCGTGTATAAACCACGCATGCGTTTGCAGACCAAACGCTGGAAACACGGGAGGTAAGAAATGCGTGTTTAGTTAGCTCATTCGGCCGAGTGACGTTAGCTAGATGTAACTTTCCATTATATTAAAAAACAAAAACTTTGACAGTACACTAAACAAGAGACTGTTGTGACCGCGTTGTAATTATTTCCAGCCTTTTATAACAGCCATTCGGGAGTGTGATTCATACATTTCAAGGGTACACAATTTTGCTTCATCATTTTCTATATCTATTTAGTCCATACTTAAGCAAAATATCAATTTAATATGCTTATATCCCTGTAATCGAAGATTTGGTGGTTTACATTTTAAGTAGCTGTCTGTTCAATGACCATAACTATAGAACTTTAATTTTGGTCACAACATACCGGTATCATTGGGTCGTATTATGGCTGACGTGTTTCATACCAATTGTTATAGTCCTTAATTTTTATACCGAATTTGATTACGGAAGGTTTCGTATACCTGACCAATACTTAAAGTTCATGGCGGGTGTAACAGGACAACAAACTTACAGAGGACGCTTACTTCTCTTAGGCACTTGATTCCATCTCAGGAATTCCCAGGGGTCCTTTTTATGACACATTCGCATACATTTAGATCAATAAAGTGGTGTATTTTTATCCTTTTTCATTGATCAGGGTGCTCTAAGTAAACCTAAAGTTTGCTATAAGTTTTATTTTCCAAAGTTAAATAAATAGCAGGCAGGTCTGCCTCTTAAAATGAGTCATTTAAAAAAAACCTTTAATTTTGTTGATTAGTTTTATGAGAAAAAATGAATTGTATAGTAATGGTTAAAAAGTAAATTGTATAGTAATTATTAAATAAGTTGAAAATATGCACATTATTAATAAGAGATATAACTTATCAAAATGTCTTATTTGGATTAACGTGTTTCTCTGCTGGTCTCTATATTGAGCTTTTATTACTATAAAGGAAGGATTCCTCAATCATCATACTGACAAGAAAAACAGCCTGGAAAAGTTAAATCCAATGGAGATTTTTTGGGCATTTTTTGTAATGTATATCTCAGTTGATTCGATACGCAAGAGCATGCTCTACGTATGAACAATTTCTAAAACGAGGCAAATTATTGACATGCAAGTTGATGAAACAAGAATATCAACAGCCTTGTTTAAAGTCATCATTTCGTAAATTCTATGGTCGATACAATGACCTTGTCAGCAAATACAATTTATCATTGAGACAAATGCTGACTGACGTCTTTCATACTAATTGTTAGTCCATTATTTATACTAGTGTTGGCAACGAGTACCCGGTTAACCGGTTAACCGTCGAACGATGCGAGTATCGGTTAGTAAAACTGCTATTCGGTTACTCGGATAAAAATATTTTTTTTCATAGTAAATACTAATAAAATAATTTTTATTTTGTTTTTAAATTGACATCGACACAATTCCCTAAATTAATTACCGTTAGGCTTGCTCTAGTGGGTCGATGTTTTGATTAGTTTTCACAGCGTGTATAACTAATGGCTTTGATTGCCAGGGGGGATACACGTTTTGAAAACCTGAGTTACATGTATAATTATCTAATTTAGACCTGTGTTGGTCAGGTAAACATACTGTCACAAGCTTAAAATGCCGCCGCAAACTTCTAAAGCATGGAAATATTTTAAAAGAACGGCTGACTCAAAATCTGTGAAATGCAAATTATGTGAAACAGAGCTTTCATATACCGGTGGGACTACTAATATGCTTAATCACCTGAGATTGAAGCATAATTCAGAAACAAGCGATCTGCAGGAAACTCCCCCAAAACAACCAGAAATTACAGGGTTTGTAAATTCTCCCCGGTCGCGACACATATCGGGGGCAGATAAAGAACGCGTAACCAGAGCAATTGTAAAAATGGTGATTGACGACTATATGCCACTGAGAATTGTCGAAGGAGAAGGTTTTAGAAACTTGATGTCTATAACTATGCCGGATTATGATATACCTGCTCGGAACACTATAAAATCAAGGATAGAAATGATGTACGGGGAACAAAAGTCTAAACTTTTGGAGAGCTTCGCAGAAATCGAAAGTGTTGCACTCACGACGGACACGTGGACATCAAATACCACAACAAGTTATATTACCGTAACAGAGCATCTTATGTTCTGAGCATTTTATACACTGAATTGACGACGGATTTTCCCGTTATTTCCCGATCATGATAAGGAGCACACGGCGGTTGTGACCAGTCGGCAGGGATGCTCACTCCTCCGTGGCACCTGATTCCACCTCTGATGTTTCGGAGGTCCGTGTTTGCTCTGCTCCTATTTTGTATTGTTTTATGGACTTTGATATTGAATGCTGTTCGTTATCTCCATATCCACCTTGTATTCATTTTAAAGATTTTTTTTTAACTTTGACCATCTCATGCTTGAATTAATTTTGGTTCTATTGTCTGAGTTGTAATGATTAAGAAATTAACAATTTTTATTGAAATATTTTTTTAGACTGTAAATCAAAAGATGACTGCCGATCTTATTGTGGAACCCACCACGAGCACCATTATCATTGTGTCGACGGCAGATGTAGATGTGGTGAACTGGATAATGACAAATAAACAGTTCAAACTCGCACGTGTTTGTGTATATTGAATACAGATTATATTTTCAAACATTTATCATTTATTCCCTGACGCACGTTACTGAAGAATAACTTGTATATAAACAAGATGAACTAACTGAAGAAGTGTTAATGTGTACGTTTTTTATGAACAAGATGTTTCTTAGGTCGAGCAGCTTGACCAAAAAAAAAAATATTCATGAGTCATATACATATAATCTAATCGCACTCATCCAAATTATAGTTAAAGTACTCAATACAAAATATTTTCAAATAATCAACGAAGAATTTACCATTTATTTCACCAAAATCAACAGCTTAAAAACTTACGACTTTTCAATTTTATACACAACCATTCGGATAAAATAAAGTCCAGGCTTTTTTATATCATTGACTGCTGCTTTTTCAAGAAAAGTGGAACTCGTAAATTTACTTACTTGGTCATTTGCAAAATTATTTTAAAACACATTCTGATTGCACACACACGTACTCTGAAGTCACATCAAAAAGATGCTTGAGTTTCTAATTGACAATATCTATGTTGCTTTTTGAGACCAGGTCTTTCAACAATCTATTGGAATTCCCATGGGAACAAATTGCGCTCCGTTATTAGCAGACCAATTTTTATATTCATATGAAGCAGAATTTGTGCAAAATCATATGCGTGAAAAGAAGAAATCACTTGTGGCCTTCAACTCAACATTAAGGTATATCGACGACGTATTGTCAATTAACAATGGTAATTTCCATTCCTATGTCGATACGATATATGCTGGTGAGCTTCAGATAAAAGATACCACAGAGTCTGACACATCTGTTTCGTACTTGGATATTTTACTTGAAAGAGACTTTAATAGTAATCTAACGACCAAGCTCTATAATAAACGTGATGACTTTAACTTTTCTATCGTCAACTTCACTTACTTATGTAGCAATATACCTTCATCACCTGCATAGTGCATACGGTGTTTATATATCGGTATCTCAGTTGATTTGATACGCAAGAGCATGCTCTACGTATTAACAGTTTTTAGAACGAGGAAAATTATTGACAAACAAGTTGTTGAAACAAGAATATCAGCAGTCTCGTTTAAAGGCATCATTTCGTAAGTTCTTTGGTAGATACAATGACCTTGTCAGCAAATACAGTTTATCATTGAGTCAAATGCTGACTGACGTTTTTCATACTAATTGTTAGTCCATCATTTATATTCCCCGGCCGTTGGCCGTAGACGGATGGTAATCGGTGGTAATCCGTGGTGTGCGCGATGCCCAAACATCGGTCCACATCGGTCTAGTAGTCCTTAAAATATCAGTCACATTATCTAGCGATGGGCAACCAATGCGTTTTTTTGATAAAAGTGGCGTGGTTGCCGGCCGGAATTACAAAGGCCCAGCAATGCATTGCTAATCATAAAGCGATGTTCCAGTGTAATCGGTCGATGTACTAGTATATTACATCGCTCATACATTGCTGAACATCGTTCGACGTCGGTCGACTATGGGCCAATGTTTGGTCGAACATCGACCGATGATTGACCGATGTCTGTTGCCCACCACTCAACCCCTATGACCTCAGATTCAACGGACACTTGACGATGCTCGGCCATACATCGATCAATCCTTGAAAGATGTGTTAATGATGGGTTGCTGATGAGGAGCAATGTTGGGCATCGGTGGCGAAATCGCTGATTTTTAACTACAACTTATTTTTTACCGATGACCCCCACCAATTCGTCAAATGGCCTCAGTCACCATCCGATTACTGTAGGTGTCCGGCCAGCAACCACGCCATTTTTATCAAAAAACGCATCGGTTTCTCATCGTATACCCCATCACTGGATAATGCGACTGATACTTTAGTCCATTATTTTTACACTGAATTGACGACGGATTTTTCCGTTATTTCCCGATCATGACAAGGAGCACACGGTAGGTGTGACCGGTCAGCAGTTAAATGCTCACTCCTCCATGGCACCTGATCCCACCTCTGATGTTTTATAGGTCCGTGTTTGCTCTGCTCCCATTTTGTATTGTTTTATGGACTTTGATATTGAATACTGTTCGTTATCTCCATATCTTCATGCAATACAATATTACAAAATTATTTGAAACAAGGAAAGAATAACTTAAATTGATCATTCCGATGCCCTAAGATTTTTAAGATTGTCTTAAGAAATGAATGTAATATTTTTTCCTTTGATCGAAGTATCAAAGAAAAAAATTTGGACGGAAAACGTCATCAATGCGCGTATTCCGTTCAAATTTTTTCTTTGATACTTCGATCAAAGGAAAAAATATCACAGTCATTCATTTCTTATCATTTAATAATGATTTTAAAATTATAAAACGATTCTTTCTTTCACTTTTCTATTAAATTTACGCATCAAAAACCGTGCGCACGAATACATCACAACGACGTTAACGTTGCTGAAATTCAAAATGGCTCTAATGAAAAAACGTTCTCAAATAATGTTGTGTCATTATTAGCATTCTCTGACATAATTTACAGGTCTTTAACACAAAAAACTTACCTGTTGTGTTATTCCAATGGGTATATTTTTCCCCGGTAAGTTATCTAAGTTCGTAAATGTAACAAAGCGAAGCTACTCAAATATCCTAAGAGTTCTAGGTCACTGAAATTTTGGATTTCATTTGCGCATCTTTTCATCTGAGTTTCAAACCGGACATACATATGTATTAATACGTATCAGAAACTGTCAATGCTGTAAAACCTGAAAGAGTCTGCTATCGACTGTTTAAAAGAATTCCGTCCACTCCTCTGACATTCATGCAGTGTCGTTTTTCTCGATCTTCCCAGGATTTAACAAATTAACGGTTTTCCCTGCTTTGGTAGCATAAAAAACATTTCTTCAGAGTTCTGTTGTTCATACCAGATATCTTAAAGTAAAAAATTTAACAATAGTATGCCGATTTCATTCCTTCTTTCCCAAAACTGTATTATGTTGTTATGCAGACGATGTGATTTGTTTAGCAAAAAAGAAACGAAAGTAGAAAATAAGTCAGAAACGTAACGGGCAGGTTTCGAAATTCAGGGAAATATTTATTTATTAAAGTAAAAGTATTTAATTATTCCTTCAAAAGTAATCTGGAAGCGGGAATATACATGTAAAGACTGCCAAAGTAGTTCCGGCTGCTTAGTGCAAGCGAACTCTAGATTTTATTGATGCAGTTATCAAAAGAATTTTTTATCCAATCAGAATCAAGTAATTTATAGAAATATCCACAGAGCAATGTCTATCTTTAGATAATTATTACGTATATACATTTTAGAAACTCATTTTAGACCAGAGAACCATGGTTGCAAACCACGGCCAAAACGTACGATCCTCTCTTATTGTAGGAAAGAGCTACTATAAACCAATTATATCATTCGCATCATCTTTTATTTGCCATTCGACAGTTTAAAATCAATCCGCGACGATTTAGTTTGGCGACCTGTAAAATTATATAGTTAAATTTTTGATTGGCGGCCAATATTCGCGCACAAGAGAAGGTCGCGGAACGCGAATAAAACCTGCCTGGTTTAAAGTAAATATACAACTCCGAACCGTGGCTTGAGACGATGTCAAGGGACAATCACTCAGAATGCTTTCCGGAAAGAACTCCTTTACACCGACTCATTCCGGTGACTAAAGTTATTTCATATGCTTCCGGTGTCCACTAGAATATATCCCGTCCTCTTGAATACGGAAAGTGGCTCTTTACTTAGCACAAACATTCACAAAGAACATGCTTATAACATTGATGTAAAACAAGTACTTTGTAATTTGAAAATGAAGGTTCTCAGTTCTTTTGAAGAAAATATTGCGTACATAAGCTAACGGACTTGTTGTATTATAGACGATAGGGCATTCTGATCGAGGTGACCTTATTAACCAGAAGGACTTTTTCAGAAAGATTATTTTATTCTTACATTTTTAGGATGAGTGACCTTTTTGATAGAACAACCCCGTGACAGCGTTCGCCACATCTGTTTCTTATTGAGATGTGTTACAGTTACTGACTATATCGACGATAGAACCAACTAAGAACAAAGTTGTTTTACAATTGAAACGACTAAGCATAAAATTACTATGCATGATGAATAAGGAAAGCTAGAGTCACTCTAACTTTCCTTATATATGTATAGTAATGTAATGCTTTCGCCTTACCAGAGATGCACGTCTTCCATTTCGATAATACAGTATTTTCGAGGGTGTGGTTTATTTATTCATTTATTTGTGGTATTGAGAGAAATAATCGTATATACTTAATACTAAATCAACATTAGTACTACGTAATACTATATGTTTTTTTTAATAAATAATTACTAGCCTAAGTATTATACGCCGGAAGCAGGCCCCCATCGTTTATCAATTGGATTAAGGTAGATCGCGGGTTTACTGTCTGCCTGAAAACATACTCTGAAAATTTGTCAACTGAATCCTCTCGTTTCAAATTTTACTTTCTGAAATTTTTGTGAGATTCGTCTGCGTGGTTATATTGTTATCGTATTTCAAAGGCACTAATGTTGATGAGAACTGGTGACGCTATTACAATGAAATATATAGTAAATGCGCCTTTCTCACCGGTAAACGCATTTCAAAACCATGCTTATAATATAAAAACGGCGCAGACGAATTTTATATTACTCAACACAATGAAACTGAGATAAATTTAGAATCGATCTATTAAAAAGAATTAATATGTGTTCTCGCTCATTTTCTCGCAAAAAAACTTTAAAGTTTTACAAATTTGTAACAAACGTATATAATTTCAAGAAGACGTTATATAACGTTAGTGCGACCTCATTATTTTCGTACGTCTCAGAATCACGATGTAATCAACAATTCACTGAAAATCAAACATGTTTTGTCCGCATTTTCAATTTTTAATTGATTGGCAATAAATGTTCATGTAAACATTGTCACAATTTACCTAAATTGTCACACTTTTTTCAATGAAACACAGAGTCATATTATTTGAATAAATTTTGATCTTTCATATTTTA